TGAAACCGTTGCAGCATTTGATCTCACCAAGAGGCCAAAGGAGGACACTGTAAGATAATCCCATGTGCTGTTCTTTCCCTCTGGCTTTATTCTGTGTATCATACAGAGTTAGTTTGACTCTTCCATAATTTTCCCCAGCTCAGTGTAGGAAGCAGACACAAGGCTACAATCTAAGCTCATCCTTCTATTGTGCCAGAAGCAAGTCAATTAACCTCTGCCAAACTGCCAGCATCTGGAAAATCAGCTCATGTTTTACTAAGTCCTGTGACATTACAGCATGCTAGAGAAAGAGAATTTTTTAGAAAAGGATTCATTGAAAGATGCTGAAACAGTGAATAGTTGTCTTTTCCCTCTTGCTTGGGGCTTACTCAAAGTTTTCAGCCTTGAAAAGAGAGGGGTCTATTAGATTATAACATGTAAAGTTAGCTGTGCATAAATACTGTGCAGACACAGTGGTTTGTACTTGTGGTATTTAGTTGGGTTTTTTTTTCCTTCTTGTTTGCAGGCTAAACCAAAACCAGATGAAGAAGTAAAACCTCTGAAGGAACCAGATATAAAGCCTCAAAAAGACAGTGGATGCCAGATTTCTTAAATGCCATAAGTGCTTTGAATTCACTTTGAAACTCTATTCATAGGACTCTGGGGCTTTAGTTCTAATCTCCTTTTTTTGATTCTCCTCTTTTCATTTTGAAGACTAATTTAATTTACCTTTGTTAATATGTGTCTATCTTGCTTAAGAATGTGGTGGATTTCTAGGGGGTTATTTATATCTGACTTATTATTTGTTTCAGTGGGATATCATAGAATGAGTGGGCTTTAATGTTCCTATTGTGCCTCTAGGGAGTTTCTTTTTGTGGGTTTAGTTTTACCCACAAATAGCAAAGGAAGTATCATGATTGTAATGCTTAAGGGTTTTTCCATTACCTTATATGCTATATCATGTCCAATTCTGCAAACAGAAGTTAGCATGCAAAGTTATATTTATTCAAGTTTTGTCATTCAGGCTTAGCACCCTGTTGTGTTCAAATTCACTTAATTCAAATTCACAAATTCACTTAAGAAAATCTGTGTTAGGATTGTAACAGTCCTATGGTATTTCACAGGACTTGCAGAGAACTTGGGAAACCTCAAGTTCTGCATAACAGGAGCACAATTTATGTTCTAAAACTATTAGTCTCTCTTCTTTCCTCTGTAGATTAGGGGTTTTATATCAGAATTTGTAGTAAGGTACCTTAGCTTTTTCTGTCCTTTAATCCAAGTCCTTTCATATCAAAGTGTATCCGAAAGTGATGCAGCAAGCAATATGGAAGTGCTTAAAAGCAAAGCATCCCTATGTCATATGTTCAGAGTTTTTGAATCTTCAAAGCTTTGTTAGATTTGAAGGCTGCAGACAGTTCTTATCTCCTGGCACTGGAATTCCTGAAGCTGTCATGCTATGGAAATGGATTTGAAAGTAAGTTGCCGTGTTTCCATCTGGGTGGTGCCGGTAAAAAGCTGTCAGGAGAGCAGGGAGGTAAGACAAGCTGAAGAGCTGATGGTACAGCTGGGAAGCCAAGCTCTAGATTTCCTTTATGCCCTGTGTAAACAGTGCTGCTCCTCAGCTTTTGCAATATTGCACTGAAATCAGCTCTTTCTGAAGAAAACTTGCCAGAAGCCAAGCCCAGTCAAGGCTGAGAAAGAAAGGATTTTGTCGAACTTGCTGCTTCCATTTCTGCTGGAAAATGTGACAGCATTCTTTAGTGCTGAGCACTGCAAAACGCCCTTGACAACAAAAACATCTTTCTGATTTGCTGCAAATGCAAAGGCATATGATGCATGTGTTGAAGTGAGAGCCTTGTAATCCCTGGGTACCAGTTGCTGCACTTCTCTTGGCCTAAGAAAGAAACTGAGCAGCCTGACAATGTTCACCCTTCCAGCAAACATGATGACAAATGCATTTACTGTGATGTAAACTGTAAACACATTCCTCACATTGTACTCTTTGTTCACCTTCCACTTGCTGTAATTCAGTGCTTCTGAAATCCTTAACAGGGCTTGGAGTCACTGAGCTTAGAGAGCAGGTGTGTAACTCCTTGAAGGCCTGTGGAACAAAAGCTGCCAAGGAGGTTAATAGGGAACTCAAGATTCTTCCTGAGATACTGGACCAAAGTACAAAATTTGTTGATGCAAAAGGCAAAGAGACATTTAATGCTGGCTGTTGTGGGTTGATCAAATGCAGATCTCCTTGCTTCCCATGATGGATTTTTCTTCCTGTCAGTTCTGCACATAAAACTAAGTGTAAATTGAGCTGAATTTCTTTGGAAGAAGTTTCTGTTCTGCAGGGGCCTAGAGGATAATGAGTATCAAGAAGAATACATGCCTGAAATGGCTCCATTTTTTCTGGTGCTGCACAGGGACCTGGAGCATGTTGCATGAAGAGTTACTCAAATCTTTTCCTAACTTGATCAGCTGACTCATTCGACTTCTTGCATTGTTAAAAGACCAGCTTAGGTTTTGCCAGAGTGTGGAGTTAGTTTTCTTATATGGATTTTAATTCTAAAAATGTATTCCAGCTGTAGTCATCAATGTTTGTTCAGCATGCCCCCTTTAAGAGTCAAGACACAGTTAACTTAGTTTCATAATCACAATTTTTTTAGCTACTCATTATTTTTCAGAATTCTTTGTCAATATGTACACATCTCAACTGAATTAGTTTTCTTGCTGTGCAGACTAGATACTGTTTTCCCTCCTCCCCTCAATTTCCCTTCCATCTGCTACAAACTGTGGCACAGACTTACCCTCATTTGCTAATGCACATGTAGGTCCTGGGACTCATTTCCAAGGCAGCTTTTACCCATGGGTGGGTTCCTGTAGAGAAATATCTTAAAATCAAATTAACAAATCATGACTAAGTCGTTCCCAAACATCTTGGTAGGAAAGATTATTTTATGGACTTGGAATTCTTTGGACGCTTTCTCAAACCAAGTGGTTTGTCTGAATCAAGTTCACTGTAAATAGTTTGGGGCATAACCAAGTGAATTGTGTCAGATGGTGACATTACTTAAGCCTAGCTGTGTAACCTCTTATGCCATAGCTGTTTCAGTAAATATGATGTAGTAGTTTAAAAATAGAATAATGGAACAAATTAATTCACTTAACATGTGTTGCTTTTCAAGACAAACTTTGTTTACTTGTAGCTGAAGTCCTGTGGCAAACATCGGATGGTTTTGCCAAAAAATAAGAAGCTGGAGACTGTTTAGTTTGCAAAGTAGAGAGAGCTGTGAGGCAATGAGCAGCTTTCTCTTCTGGTTTTGTTGGGTAGGAGCAGGAATTACTGTAAATAGGATATAGATTAACTGTCCAATATGGTTAAGAATATGGGTGAATGAACTGGGAGTTTCAGTGACTCTGGAAACCCAGCAGCCATGTTCCTTCTCTTAAAGCTCCCTTTAGTAATTTTTAAGAGTGAGGTATTTTGAATAGTGACTTTTTAATATTCTAATGCTGCAAGAGCCTGTTTTTGTGGCCTCTCTCTGTTTTTAGAGGCTCTCATGGCTAAGCCTGCAAATCTTGTTGGTGTAAATAGTCTTTAAAAATTCGTGCCCCATCTGAAGCAGGACAGAACTGCAGCTGAATAAAATACAGAGTGCTGGGCCCTCTGTTTTGTGCTTTAAGAAAAGCAGTGATTGTCTTTAATCTACTGTAAACCAAACCATTAAGCTCTTTGTAGGATTTCTATGTAAATACCTTCCTCCGTGTATTTAAATACACTTTCTCCATGTATTTAAATTAACCTCCTCCATGTTTCGTGTTCCTGAGTTTTCAGTAGTTACTCTCCATCCAGCATGTGACACACCTACATCTGAGGGACTAAACCTGCCCCCTGGATGCAGATGTCTGCCTCCCACTGGATTTGGTAGAGGAGTTTTGCCTGTCAGCCTAGGGATGGTGTTTGGTCACTTGGATGTTCAGCATGGATCCGTGGTGTGTCTGTGACAATGGTGGTCATTTGTACAACAAGCAGGAAAATGGATCTCTGTGTCTGTGTAGAATAGAGACAACTTTGCACTTTAGAATTTTCTTGTCTTGCAAATTTGGTACAATACCATATGCTTGTAAATAGTCTTTCCTGTCATTTTGTTGCACTGATTTCAGTACTGTGCTATGGATAAGGTTTTAATGGGAAACATTACTAAAATGTATTTTTAATTGTCTGTGTGTAAAACAACCTCATGAAGCATATCTCTGCCTTTAGTACTGGGGAACGTGAGAGGAGGCAGTAGCTCATCTGTTTTCCGTGGGAATTCCAAGAGGTGAAGACTTTCTGTCTGTTGGCTGCAGGGTGAAACATTTTATCCATCCTTGTGTCTGTTATCTAAACTGAAGTTTCCGCATTAACATAAATCGTGTTCATGCCTATTAATTATCCCTAAAAAGTTTGTCTCTAAAGATCATGCTTAAATTACCATAGTAGCATAAGCTGCATTTTTTTCCTTTTTCTGTGTTTTTTCCCTGTCACTGGCCCAGCTGAGGGAGGGATAAAGCACAGTGAATAAGACTGGCATGGAAAAGCCCCTGCAGTGTGTACCTGTCTCCAGGCTGTGAGTGCAGTGTAAAGGCTTTTCCACAGTGACCCTTGGCTTGACTCAGACCTTTCCCTGCTGGTGATGTTCTCAAATTCAGCAAAGCTCCCATGGCAACCCAGGGGACCCTTGATTAGCTTTTTATGTAGGAAGGCCTCCCTCTTTTGGTGTTGGTGCCTTCATGGATTACAAGCTTCCAGAAGCCATCCTGTACTCTGGGTAATCCCACTGCAATGGAATCAGCTCTGAGATCACTGACCGAGCAGCCTTACTTTGTGAAGACCGTCACCATGCAATCTTAAGCTTCATAGTTGAAAATTTGTATATAGCCACAAATTTCAGAACACCATTTAAAATAAACAATCTTCAAGTATTATGTGCTATTTCATTATTTACAATTTTACATACAGTAGCAAGAAAGAGACTCTGTTTTGAATGTTACTTTCTGCAATTTAATGCAACTTTATTATTACAGGGAATCCTTAATCCTTGTTTAAAGGAGGACTTAAATAACTAAGATCCTTGAATTGGGTGCCTATGGAAGTAGTAGCTACAATGAAGCATGTCAAGTCCCGGGGCACGAAGAGAGAAGATGGGCTTCCCAAATTCCTGTTTAGAAAAAAGAAAGTAATTAGGCAGAATTTTTACAGCTGTACAAAATCTCAGTACGTGCCAAGGTCTGTGACATTGTGGGATATTGTGTACACTGTGTGAAGGGGGTTATTTGGGAATAACTTCTCTGATACTCTGGATGATGCCTCACTAGCACAGCAGGCTCAGTCTTCCCTATATGAACCAGACATGCATCTGCTGCTGTCTGTAGGAGTCCCATCTGTCTCTCCGAGCCATGTGGTGGTCTTTAATAATTTTGTTTCATGCCTCCAATCTTCCTGTCGGGGTTTCCCAAAAAAGGATTTGTTTGCAATGTCCATGTAGAGGGCCTGGATATAATGTTGCCCTTGCTTTGTTGAGTTGCTCTCAAATCTGAAGGTCAAGAACCTTGTCCTTGTGACACTTGGACCCTCTTGTCTGCTGGCTGTGCTTCCCCAGTTTCTGTCAGCGCAGTTTAGTCAATACCTTCACCCCAAACACTGTCAAAAACTGCATAACAGCACCAGCAGAGCTCTCTCGAATGGACAAAAAATTCCCACAGGACCCTGCTGGAGTGATGGCCACCAAGGGGCAGCAGAGCTCGTGTTTTCCTGCAGTTTTTCCACTCAGCTGCCCAGCACAGACAGTGCGCACCCAGAAACAGCACCGCAGCTTTAAAATGGGAAAATGTGTCACAAGTTACACCTTCTACATCATTTTATGTGGAACATCTCTGTAATTACTGACAGGGCGCATCCAGGAGCCTGTGAACAGGAAAGCCGCTATCCCTCCACCGAGGACATGTCAAAGCCATGGAGCAGGAGCACTGACAAACACAGACAATCTCTTGCCCTGTGTCCCAGCAGCTGCTCTGTCCCAGGGACTGGCAGCCCCTCCAGGGCATCTGCCCTTTGGGAGGAAGATGCTGTGTACCTCTCTGTGGGGTTTCTCTGGGGTTGTGGCCTGGGTTTCTATGGCAAGGATTGGAAGTGGGAAGGCTGGAGCTTCTGTGAGCAGCAGCTGCTGCCCTCATGCTGGCCAGAGCCCATTCCTGGCAGCCCCAAGACAGAGCCACTGCTGGCCAAAGCTGTGTCCATCAGCTGCCTGGCCATGGCTGTGGGGAAAAGGCTGTGAGGTGGGCAGTGAGGTCTTGGGCAGCTGGAAATGTGAACCAAGGGCTTCTCTCCTCTGCCTGCGTGCCTCAGTGGGCTGGGGGTGCACTGGAGGCTGTGGGGGCACTGACCCCCAGGGACCAGAGGGATTTCCCACAGCATATGATGCCATGCTCAGCAATCAAACCACGGGGATGTAGGTTGGCAGGGGCTCCCTTGGCTCAGAAACTGGCTGGGCATCAGTTTGTTGTTTTTCTTGGATTTGGACTCCCTTTTCTCCCCTTTCCTTGTGTTGTTTTGGTTTTTTTATTTATTTGTTTCTGGGTTTTGTTTTGTTTTAATTTAGTTAAACTGCTTTTATGTCAACCCACCAGTGTTTTACCTATCCAATTCTCTCCCCCAGGGCTAGGAAGTGAGTGAGTGAGTGGCTGTGTGGTGCTGAGCTGCCAAGCAGGGATAAATCATGACAGTCCTCTGTAAAACCATAACAGCAGTGCCCTGTGCACACAACAGCTGAATGATGGGACACAAGCAGCATCTGCAGATCAGGACTGCAGCAGGAAACAGGAGCTTTAGCTGTGGATGTTTAGAAAAAATCACAAGTATGACAAGAAATCTCCACTCAGGAAAACATCAGTATTAAAAACTGAGATGGTCACAAATACAGGAACTGTGGTATTTACAAAGACCACCAAGTGAGTCTTCTCATAACCATATTTAATGTGACACAAGTCAGGTTGATGTGAACCTTTTGTCTGGAGAGCTCAGTCATGGAGTTGTGAATTTGTGGGATAAAACACAGAATTTTGCCATTTTTGTCTTGTTTGGTTTGACAAACTGGCAAAAGGATACAAGTGATGTATCTCCAAGACTTGGGTCTTTCCAAATTCAGATCTCTGTATGGCTGTTGCATACACTAACTATTCTATCAAAACCTGCCACCCATGGTGGATTATTTAAAGTGAATAATATATTAGCTAAATCTGGTCAGTCTTAGATCAATTAAAAGAGGCTACAGGTTTTATTCTTTGCAAAGTGGCAGATCATATTGCAAGCTGAATGGTACAGAACTATGTTTGGTACAACTTCACAGATTAACTTGGTTTTATGCTCAAAATTAAAGCTTTCTTCTTGTTTCTGTAGTTCATAGTTGAGTCTGTATCTCTGGTTTGGGACAGTTTGAATTGCAACCGCTTAATTCCTTACGAAGTTAAAGTTCTTTCTTTCCTTTTTTTTTTAAATTTTAATACGATTGATTAACTTACTTTAAGGATGGATTAACTACTCAAGCAACAAAGCTGGCACTTTGCTATTTTTTGTTCTTTTAATATTTAGTGGTGGTGTCTGACAGGATTATCACCAGGATTTAAAACCTTTGATGATTTGTAAAATTAGCTATTTTCTTTTGTTCAAATGATATAAACTCTATCAATACAATTCAGACTACACTGCATAGTATCAGCTCACCAGCTTTTTCCAAAGGGTACATTTTACAATACCCACAAAGGAGCTTTTGCATGCCCAGATGCAGCTTTTGTGGATGAAAACAGCAGAAACCATGGCTATCACACAGGTAGACAGCAATCAGTATGTTAGGTATGGTATGAAGTTTGTGCAAACTTCACAGTTAGACCAGTGTGGCAGAAAGCACTTGCAGAAAAATCAGAACAGGATGATTCTAATCAAGGGTGGATCAAGAAAGATCAAGTAATTCTTGACAGGTTTGTTAAATTTGAGCCATATATCACTAGGTTTAGTCAGCCTGACTAAGGACTTTCTTGCTCCTGTATTTCAAACGGCAGGAAGTTTTAAGTATTAATGAATTGACCAGAAAAAGAATCCAAATAAAGCTTAAAATCAGATTACAAGAATTCCTGTGAAAAGTACTGTAATACATTGTAGATCCTTGGGAATATAAGAGGAAATTAATGAACAGAAAAAGGGGAAAATGTTGAACTCAAAGCCACACATTAAAATTCAAACCATTTGCTTCTGGCAACACATCTTTAAAAACCTCCATGCTGTAACTATTAATGGAAAAGCCTTCCTACTGGCAAGGCAGATAAAAAATCTCCCTGCAGCTTCCACAATATCTTCCCTCTCCTGCTGAAAGAAAAAATCTTGGTAAGAAAACACTTTCTGGAGAGAGTTTCAGGTAAATATGACAGAGTTACTGAGTGACATGTCTGAAATGAGCCACCAAGGACTGCCACTGGGTTTCACCTTTTCCCCTCCATCAGCTCAGAGAACATCCTGACCCAAGTGCACATGGGCAGCACAGCCTGTGGAGGTAACCAAGGGCATCTACTCACTGCAGGAATTCCTAGACAGAAATAATTGTGTGCCCCTATGCTTGTTCAGTTGTGGGGAGTTCTGATTTACAATTTATACAGACTTGGCTCTTTCTACCCAACAGATGCACTTTGCCTGTTTTTAATATCATCTGGGGATAACCACAACAGAAATAATAATTAAGTGTGTTTAGGTGCTTTAAGAAACAAATAGAAATTGCATTTGTGGCCATGGAGGTATTGATATTCCACAGCTACAGCAATAATCTTCAGACTGCTCCTCACTGCCACACAGAGTTGGGATATATGTGCAGGCAGGTTTCAAGGAAAAATAGTTCATTAGATTGAAACCTGCACTGGGGCTGCAGTTTTAAATGGAGCTATAGGAGGAAACCTTCCCTAGGATTTCATGTGTCCAGCTTTTCTTTTGCATAAGGTAAATAATGCATAGTTAGAGTGCAGGAACAACTGATCTTGCAAATTGTTAATAAATAAATACTAATAAAATGTGATAAATTTAACAGACTCTCGAATGCCAATGAAAAGTTTTGAACCCAGTGCTGGGTATGCACAGAACTGCTGAGGGACCTGGCCTGAAAAAGCTCCCCCTGCATGCTGCAAAAACCAGCCTCAGACATGACTGATTTTAGTGCAAATGAGTTGGTATAAATAAAGCAGATCTTTTTCTTTTCTCTTCACTCACAATTTCATTTTACTCATTTACAGTTATTCCAGAACTCAGATCTAGAAGAACATGAAAAATTTACCACTGAATGAAAAAAAAAAAAAAGTTTAAATGGAACATTTGATTCTTCCTGGCCTGATTACAGGAATACAAATAAGAAATTATTCCGTGGAAATCAATGTGGCTGTAGGAAAGTAATCTCAGTATAGCCATGAAAATCTATCGCCTTGTGAGATACAAAATTGCCATAAATAAATGTTTGTCTATTCTCCTCGTTTCCACTTTCCATGAACAATACTGGAATGTTAAGTTAACTGTGTGTTCTAACCTTGCATTGCAAATGAAGCCTTCCTGGGGCTTCTGGACACTCTGCAGTCACAGGCACCTGTCCAAGTCTGTGTTAGGAGAAGGACACAAAGCCACAGGATTCCCCAGCAGGATGGTGCCCAGGAAGAGGCAGGGGTGCCATTCCTCAGCACCAGCCATGGCAAGAAAACTGGTCACGGTGTGGGGAGAAAGCTAAAGAGGACAACCACACTGGCTGTGCAGAGAAGAGCACTTAAGGGTCCTTACATACTACAAAGCCATTATCTCCAGGGGAAAAACAACCAACCCAGCAGCTTTGATGATCTTATGTCAGGCAACCTCTTCCACATGAAATAAAAATAGTTGAGCCTTTATGTGTATCTTTGCAATAGGCAATATCCCAAATTCAGCCTGTTCCAAGAGTTAGGTGAGGGTTTTTTGATGGGTCACTAACTTCATGACAATGTACAGGATTAACTTTGTCTAACTACAAAGACCCTTTGCGAATGTAGATGACATAAAACTCTCCACAAAACCTTTTTCACCTCTAAACCTTTTTCCTGTCACCAGTTCTCTGAAAGTCCCTAAAGTGTGTGGTTCTGTTGCAACACTCCTGGTTCTATTAGTGGTGTTTGCTGTTGGGATAATGTAAGGCAACTCCAATTACCCTTTATTTATTCCTGCCAGTAAGAAAACAACCTGCCCTGCTTTGTTATGCTGCTAGACTGGTTACTGATGGCTGCAACAATGGTGCTGTACAGGGTATTCAGCTGATCCAAGGTAAGTCCCAGGACCTCTTGAGGAAATACCTCGTGAATGATCAGCTGGGAGAAATTTTGTAACCAAGGATTCATGGAATGTGTGGTGGAGTTTTTCTAGCAATAAAATTCTACAGAAAAGATAGGATTATCTTTTTTTAATGTGAAGGTAACAGATTACAGACTTTGTAATTTTAAATTCAGTTTTCATTTCCTATCAATGAAGGAGTCCCAAAGTTGAAACTTGAAACTGTCTGACTCTGTATTTGAAGTTCTAGTTAACCACTTTAACTTTAGAGAAGAATCACACATGGGCTCTTGCAATTTCAGTGCAACACAACTTCCCTGAAAGACTGAAGTGTAAGCTTGTGTCAGTTTGTGCTTTAAAGTGAAAGTCTGTTTTGGAAAAGCAGCATCTAAAACTGGTAGTGTAGTTTTCCAAGTTCTAGGTGTGATAAAACTGAATTTTAGAACAGGACCTCAGCTCTGGGAGCATATTCTGAGATCTTTCCCTTGAGCTTGATTCTTCTCCATCGAATTCTATTCTTATTTCTCTTTATCAAGACCTAAATTTGAACCTTTGAACATAAACCTATTTAACAGCAGGCTTGCTTAGTGGAGGGAGTAACTTGAGAGGAAAAGGGTAGCACAGGAGTTGGGACTCTTGAAATATGAGCCAGAGGTAACTGCACTTCACCCTCCCTGCTCTAATACAACTTCTTGCAGCTCTTTGCTGCTAAAGCAAAACTAGTTCATTTCTAAAATGTAACAGCAGATTTGCTGATGGTGTTTCCACGCTGTTGCTTTTCAAGATTTATTTTAATAGTGTTTTGTGGCTTATGATACTGCGAACGTCTTGTCACTATTCACCATTGTAAGCTACAGCCATAAATCAGCCTTATGTGATGGCATCTCAATGCAAGGTAAGTGGAAGCACCAGGACAATTATAATTTTTTAAGTGTTCCTAACAGAAGTCAACTACATTAGTTGCCTTTTATCTAGTAAATGTTTTACTGGTTTATCTTCAGGAACATGGAGATTCTGGAGAAAGCTCTGAGAAAAATGACATGGACTTTTTTGAGTGACAAAGGACATCTTGGGGTACAGTGTTGAAAATCAATAAAGAATACAATGGGTTTCTCACAATGTGCTTTTGCAAATATTAATGAAGTTTCAGAATGTGACCCAAAAAGTGTTTCAACAACTAAACACTGATTGTTGCTGTTCCAATATATCTCTGATTAAAGTAACTTAATAGGCTAGGAGTGAATTCTTCTTTCATTCTGGGCAAATGCAGATTTTTTTTTATCACTCATCAAAGTAACCAAGTGGAAACAAAAATAACTTTGGGTAACTGGAAATGTGTAAAATTTACCTATATTCAGCAAAGCAAGTAGTTGAACATTAATAACAGTGATTTTCTCAATTCTTGCACTCCAGGTTCCACATTTTTGTTGCAGATTAAAGTGTTGGTAAGTATTCATAAAGAAGGTAGGTTTTCTTTATAGATCAACTAATCTAATAACAATACTTTTATCCTAGTTAATATGCTGCTGCAGTAATCTCCTATGAGATACTTCATATTGTCCTAAACTCTTGGTTAGACATTTTTGTTTGCTGGTATGCCTGAAGAAAGGGAGGGGGACCACTGGATTGTGTAAAGTACTAGCAAGACAAGTTTTCTGGACATGTTTTGAATGGATATTTAAATTATGCTTTTGCCTGACATTTTCATGGTAGTTGAGAAAAAGCATGCCCAAAATTTGGGTTTACATGACCCTGTGTGGTTTCTAGCTAGCTAAACAGAATAAACAAAATTTTCCAGCCGCTAGGCTGTCAGCTGAAAATACAAATCAGTGTTAACACTGTTGCCTCCCTTACCTTTCTCCTCTTTTTTTTTTTTTTTTTTTTTTTTTTTTTTTTTTTAAGTCAGTCTGACTGTAATGGTTTACAGCATGGGGATATTTAGAAGGGTAACATATCCTCCCCAAAGCTGTTTTCTCTCTCAGCTAGGGAAAACCAAGACAGAAATACAATCACTGAAAGCAGACATTTCATTCATCCACATGCAAATTGCCCCCATAAGCCATGCTTGAGTCTCACAGGAAAGATTGGAAATGACACAACCTCCAAAGCAAAACTAAAAGCTCAGTCTTTTTCTGCATAATATGTGCTGTGAGTGATTGAAAGTTGTGAATTTTTCATCTCTGTCTCTTGCCAAACAGCTGCTGAGTGTCTCATTTCCTTTGCATTCCTGCTTTTCCCTAATTTCAGAATTGGAGAGTTGAATTTGTCACTTTTCAGTTCCTGCTGTATAAACCAGTGGTCAGACTCAATAAGTGCCCCAGCTAAGATAGCACACTCCACAGGCCTGTCTGCACTGCTGGATGAAATACCAAAACTGAAATTATTTCCACACAGAACTGTTGTTTTATGATAATTCTGTTGCATATTAAGTTCCAGGATCTGAGAAAATTATTCTGTGGTCAAAGCAGTGGAATTTATTTCAATTAGTTACTCTCTGTGTTTTCTTTGTTTTGTTTTTATTTTATTTTTTAAATTTGACTTCTCTTTAGAATCTTACACCCACTGGAGAGAGAACTTTCACAGGTACACTGTTCCTTGTTCATGTTCTGAACTATATCTTTCAGTGAGGGCTCTGATTTTTTTGTTTCAGCTAAGACTGCTAGCACTGTCTAGGGGAAACTATTGTTTCCCCTGACTGTACATGATAAACCTTGGGAAAGGAACAGCTATTTCCCTCATTAGTTCTGGTGTTTCACTGCAAGGCAGAAAATGCCCACACTGCCCCTTTGCTTGAAGAGCTGTGCTTGTCTTTCTCCTGATTTCATAAGGAAGCAAAGCATAACAGAAGAGGCCTGTGGTCAGCAATTTCTGTCTGGGTCATATTCACAGGAGGCTCCATTTCCACCCCATCCAAGCTTTTGGCAGACTTGGGCAGTCTTCTGCAGCTTAAGGATTGACAGGTTGTCTCTGGCTACTGCTGAAAGACAGATATTTTCTAGTTGTTTCCAAAAAAGAAAGAAAAAGCAAAGCTGGGTCCCAGGCTATGTCCTTGTTAACCATTTAAAATGCTTTTTGTGGAGAACACCCAGTGCTCTTTCATCAAACCTGCTACGAGGGGCTCTGCTGTAGCATTCCAACAAGCCTGTACTAAATGCTTTGACAAAAAACACACACTCTCTGAAATGAAATCTTATTTACTGTGGTGTTATTAAAGTGCTAAACAAACAGACAAACTCAGAAAGGCTGCTAGGATGTGGGCGGGTGAATAAATAAGCTTTGATGCTAATGTCAGTCAATGCTAATTTCTATCCTTTGAAGAAAGTGTGATAAACACAGCTGTCAGAATTGTGATCTGAAATTGCTCTAATTAAATTAGATTTTTACTAGAATGAAAGCAGCTGAGCACCTTGTTTTGTTTCCTCTTTAGCTGGACCAATTCAGAGAATAGAGACTTTCCAGTTCTTTCATGGCTAGGTAGGAAAGGTAAGATTTGTTACATTTAAACAAGGATCTGAATACACACAAGACTATTGTATAAAATTCCAAATTAGTTTTCCTTTTGTTGTCTTTGCTACCCACAGTTGGCATCTTAATTTAGAATCTGCGACCTTCAAGGGGGAATTATCTGTACTGGCCATTAATGCTTTCTTTGCAGTAATATGGGGAGGTGACATAACTCCCTCATGTGCATCTCTCAAGTTTATGTGTTACAGTAAAAGACAGCCAAGGGTGTTTCAAGGTTAAGAACTTTGTCACTGCTGATGAGAATAATAACTAGCCATCACTGTAAAGAAAGGCATGAAGGGATAAAGGATAACAACCTGGAGTCAGATGATCTCTGGATAACCCTTCATCTGGATAACATCTTCATCTTGTCTCTTCCTCAAAAATCACCTTGCTCCTTTCTGTAGATGGATAGAAAGACCTGTTAGTCCAAGCCTTGGAGATGTACTTTGTAAATGAAATTGTGATTTGGCTCAGATCTGGGGGCGGGGGGCTACTCCTTTTCAGTAGAGCTAAAAATGAAGTGAGGTGATAAATTATTTCAGTACTTTTATTTTTTTTTATGACACCCTCTTTCCTGAAGCAATCTAATTAATTACAGAGAACAGCATAGCCCAAAGTAAATAACTGATATATATACATATGTTTGATTTGTGAGTGCTATTGATTTTAATTTAATTAATGTAAAAGTGATCTGTGTCAGAATTTAGTGCCATAAAATAAAAATATGAATTTATATATTGCTAGATTTATATAGAGAAATATTGTATTAATAGACCTTCTACCGGTGCCATCTATCAATTTCCAAAATGCATTAATTATAACAAATCGATCTGATGAGGAGAAATTCGATTAATTACACCATCTCTTCCATGAGTGGGCACTAGATGGCACTGAAAGATAAGAGCTGGGGTGTGGAAATTTCTTATTGTTGGCGTACTTCAGTGCATAAATGATAGCCAGTAATCTATTCTGTGGGGGGAAAAAAGAAAGAAAAAAAGGAATCTCAGGAATTACAGAAGTTTTATTGCATGGCTCAGTTGTTTCTCCAGTCTATGGAAGAAACTGGTAAAATTAGAGGCAAAGTGGCAGAATATGATATTTATTAAGTGACTAGGGCTGGCAGCAAAGTCCTTTTGCAGATGGGAGAAATGGAGCTTTCCCTCTCTCACTTGGGTCATGTTGCTTCATAGAAAAATCTCCTCCAGAATTCATATGCTCCAGAATTCGCAGCACTAGTTCTAGTCCCAAAGGTGACGGTGTTAGAAACATCAACTTTCACAACATTTCACGCTCTGGCTCTGCCCCATCTGACCAAAGGCAAACCCTTGGGCTGATGGAGGAGACACAGCCATGGCGTTCAGGAGAAGGCCTGGGTCAGAACTGGAGATTACAACGAGCTCTCAATAAAACCCACTCCAAACGAACCCCAAAGGGACAATTAGCAGGGAAGGAGGGGATTGGAGTCGGACTCAGACTGCGGCTCTCAAACCATCAGCAGCCTGACCCGGGTGCCTCACATGCCTCAGAAGGGTTTTTAGAGAGCCAATAAACCCCAGGACAGGATGAAAGTGAAACAGCTCATCATGTGCAAGGGATCACTGGAGATTATCCCGTGTGTTACTATGGTTTTAAACATTATAAAGGCGTACTTTTATTCCAACTGCAAAAGGAAGCACTGGAAGGTTAGGAAACTCTGCGTCTGTGTTTTGGCCCATTCTGTGCATGAAGTAAGAATGGCACCTTTTGGGACAGAAAAGTACACAACCATCTAATTAAAAACTGAAGCCTATGCACAAATTGGCATGACTATGTCTGGAGCAAGCTTTTCCTAGGAATTCAGAAATTCAGCACCAGGTTTATCTGTATAGATAATGTTGTTTCCTCTGTGCAATATTGCTATGTTTTTAGAGATGAAGGGTGGTCTATCGCATGGACTCTGATCTGTGTCACTGCCTAGAATGAAACTGACTGGGGGCCACTGTGACCTTCGCAGTGTAATCTCCCCAGACTAAAGGGGTACCTTTTCAACTCCAGACACGACTTTCCCACAGGTTCGCTACATTTTGAAAGCGTGTCCATCACACTGCGGTTCTTTGGGCAGCTTTGGACACGCTCCGTCCATGGCAGCCGCTGCCCCAGGAACCGGGCGGGCTGCGAGAGGCGGGGCGAGCCCTCACGCCACGCTCAAGATGGCGGCCGGCGGGAGCCGGGCGGGCGCCACGCTCAAGATGGCGGCGCCGGCCGCTCCGCCTTCCCCCGCCCCGCCGGCGGTGACTTCCGGAGGGAGCGGGAGAGGGCGTCCGTCCCATGGTAACTGCGCCACGGTGGGGACGCCGCGGCCGCCTTTCGCTTCCTGCCGCCGCCCGGCCCGCGACGACGGGCAGCCGCCGCCTCCGGGGCCCCGCCGCCGGCAGCCGCCAGGTCGCGAGGTGAGAGGAGCCCGCCGGGGCGGGCGGGCCCCGCGGGGCGGGCTCTCCGCGCCGCCGAGGTACCAGGTCGGGCCGGCGGCGCCGGGGAGAAGGAGGAGGAGGAGGAGGAGGAGGTGGCGGTGGCCCCGCGCTCGTGTAGCGGGGGAGGAACCCCCGGTGCCGGGGCAGCGCCCCGGGGAGCCCGCCCGCGGGACAGCGGCGGCCCCGCCGCGGGGAGAGCCCTGCTGGGGGCGGCGGTGCCCTTGTGTCGGCTGAGCCGTGCCTTGAAATAGCTTGTAAAATGAATTAATTCTTCACCTTCACTTCTGAATCTTTTATGTTTATTTTACTGGGACCTGGGGCCTTTTCTTTTGCTCTTTATTTAAAGGTGTTCAAGCACCTAACTTTTTTCGTTCGTTACGGGCTGAGATGTGATCAGCCTTTCGTGTGTGCTCCTGCCCTTTGTTCAGACACACGGTGCCTGTTTTATTTGTTAGGAGCAAGGACTCCTTGAGAGCAGGTCTGCAGGCTGTGGTTTCGAAAGGGAGCTCATATGGCACCCTTTGTCTTGGGAAATAAGGATACGGTAATTCCCGACTTCTGGCCGCACGACCGATGTGATAAGGTTGCTCATTGCTTCCAGCAGCGGTGGGAAACGCTGGAGGTGTGCTGGAGAGACCATTAGGGCAGAGGTGTGTCCAGAGGGGTGTGGAAGCCTCTTCAGTTTATGGATTCAGTGCGAGCAAGCAATTCCCATGTTTTCTGTGGAGTTGGCACCTGCAGCCAGTGCAGGAGCTCTCGCCGTACCCTGCTTTGGGAATGGCTTAGTTCCTGCATCAGGAACAGCTCACCTGCTGGTTCTGCACATCCTCCTCCTAGTAGAGACTGAGCGCGTACTAGAAGTTTAATGAAAAACTTTTCTGTGAGTAAGGCAATAGGACACTCCATCTCTTTCTCAGCCTCTGGAGAGGATGGAAAAATTGTTTTTAACAGAATGGTTGATGGTTCACGTTGTATGGATGTGAGAACCATCTCTTCAGGAGAGAGATGAGAGCTGTAGTTACTCAAAGTGTGTCTGTAGCATGTGTGTGATTTAAATGAACAAAAACTCTCTGGTTAGACTTGCAAGTAGCTTGTTATAGAATATCTGGCTTGGATAAACCTGGGAAATAGTAACATACACTTAGATCAAGGCATCTGGGTTGTCAGTGGGTTTATAAAGGTGTTCAGCTTTAAGAGTATTGACTGGTGGAACTACAGGCAAAACTAGGTGCCAGGAAGCAGATGGGATGAATTGAGACTGGAAGAAATAAAGGATTTCTTAACTGGATAAAGGAATAAGAGCCTGAAACAAGCAGCCTGCAGGGATGGGTGTGGAAAAGCTCTAGTGTCAAACAGCCAAGGTGGGGCCAGAGACAAGTGTATTAGAAAAACATAAATACTTCAAACATTGGCATGGCACTAAGGCTGCCAAAGTTCAAGAAGTCTTTGGACAATGCTCTCAGGCACACAGTGTGATTCTTGGGGCTGTCCCAAGCAGGTCTTGGACTGAGTGATTCTTGTGGTTCTGTTCCAACACAGGAGATTCTGTGATTTGTAGTCTCTTGTGGCTTGTAATATTTAATATTTAAGATATTTAATCTTGTAATCAAACCTTCACACTACATTAGAATATATGTAACATTTACAGATTGTATTTATTTTGCATACATTTATGTTTTTCTCTGAATATAAAATAAATGACTTGTGCTTCTTCAGTTTTTTAGTAGCTCCCAGAAACTCTTAACTAGTACTGGGGGGCTGCTGTGCTGATTGCTTGTGTAAATTGAAATACGAATTAAAGAGGTAGACATCCTGGTGGGGGCTTTTTTTGCTTAAGTAATTATCTTTAAATGTTAAAGTAAGGAAACAAAGCAGCCTTTGACACTTACGTTCTGTTTCAGAATACAGTGGTTGAACTTTATAAATGCTGTCGTGTAGGATATTTTGGTGGTCATTAAATAGAAAGAAAAATCAGATTCCACAGGAAGATTTGTTTTCTCCTTTAGAGTGAAGGGAGTGATATCCTCTATAATATCATAGCCTAGTTGGAGGACACAGTTATTTTGAGATTAGAAGCTTAATGTGTAGGTTGGTTACAAGCAGATGAATATTGAAGTGAGGACTTGACTGTAGAGGGGTGCAAAGTATGGAAGAGTGCCTTAGGATGTGAAACTTTGTGCCATCACTCAGGAGGGTTTTTTTCTCCTTTCGAGGGACACAGTATATATGTAGGGAATAAAACTCACTGATTGCCTTTTTCCATTCTTTTGGCCTGCTTTCGAACTCACTATAGTAAAGTTAAGGTTGTTTGCAGGTTATATGAAGTGATAAATAGGGCCACAGTGATGTGTGTTTGTTTTCAAGGCACCTGGGAGAGGGCAGTGCCAGTGGCTGGACTTTCCTGTCTGTAGAGCCATACCTTTGCTTCAATGGATTTGCTTTCTGCTGCTCAGGTAGTGCAGGGGAGACGTGGACTGAAGATGAAGCTTTCTTAGCAGAGTCTCAACATTGCTGAGATTGTGGTTTTTTTCTCTTCACTTCAATTTTTTTTTCACTCCTTCTTTCCAAATGCTCTACCATCAAATATTCCTGGCTCTGTTGGAGCATGCCGTGTGAGGCTATTTTTGACTGCTCAAAGAATTACTGTAGCAGGAACAAAGGACAGTGATGGGGGAGAAGTGGTCCCAAGGGGTCTTGAGAAGAAAGAGATGGAATTCAGATTAGTAGCCTCCAAAAAAAAAAAAATCTTGCTGTAGAAGAGGTGAAAAGTAAGACTTTAAAAGAACAAAGGTAAAAACAACATATGAAAACACTTAGTCCTCAAAATGTTACCCTTTCCCATGAGGAGGCTTTTTGAATGGCTTTCATAGTAATGTTTCTCATATGTTGACCATAGATTTATTTGGGCAGTAAGGTTGACTTTTTCTCTAAGCCTTTAATAGAGATGATTGATTTACTGGCTTTGATAGAGGGATAGAATTACTTTCAAACTTTGAAATACATAATAAGCACCTCAGGTAATTAGCAAGCCTACATCTATCTCTCTTTAAAGTGATCAATGACATTAATTTGGTTTGGTAACCATGGCTATATTCTCGTTCAACAGCCATATGGTATTTCTGAGTTTAGTGTGATTTCCTGTAGGTGGTTTTTACAGAGTCAGCTGGGCTTTGGTGTGAAGTGCAGCAAAAATTAAATACTATGGGAAGGTGTGAAAATGTTCTTGTATTAAAAGAGAAAAAAAGAAAAAGCAGGTTGCTTTAACTTTGGGGTAAGAGTAGATTGTAACCTCTAAATCACACGTTCAGGGAGACTTATGTGAAAGCAGTACAAATTTGTAACTGCTGCTTGTTTGACACTGAAGTTTTTTAATGCAAATCATGATCAACAGATCAGTGTTTTGTTGTAAACAAAATACTGTTTGCCTTTTCTTTAAAAAGGAGACCCCTCTTTCTGTATCATACCCTTTTAAGGGGTTTTCTTCTTGAGGTGTGATACATTAATGCTGTTGTTAAATGTGTCATGACATTAATAGAACAGCCACAGGAAATTTCCATCTGAGTTCTGATTTTTTGAGGCCTGCAGTAATGAAAAAAGTGTGAATTTTATCTGTCACATGAGAGGTGGCTGAAGGAGCTGGGGTTGTTTAGTCTGGAGAAAAGGAGGCCCAGAGGGACCTTACTGCTTTTTACAACCACCTGAAAGGAGGTTGTAGACAGATGGGAGTTGGTCCTTTCTCCCAGGTACCAAGTGATAGGACAAGAAGAAACAGCCTCGGGTTGTTCCAGGGGAGGTTTATATTGGATATTAGGAAAAATATTTTCATTAAAAAGATGGTCCAGCATTGCAACAGGCTGCCCAGGGAAGTGATGGAGTCACCATCCCTAGAAGTGTTCAAAAAGCACACCGATGTGGTGCTTACAGATGGGTGTAGTGGTGGACTTGGCAGTGTTTGGTTAAGGGTTGAACTCAATGATCTTAGAGGTCTTTTCCAACCGTAATGATTCTAAGATAAAAATCAAGAGCTTCTGAGAAGCATTCTGGGCATCCAGGAGCATAGTCCAGCTGAGCTGGTGAAAGCTAGGATAACAGAGAGGAGTCTGGTTGGGAAGATTGAAGCTGTTTCTGAAGCAATTTTATAAAGGTGAAAAATCCTGGGTTTTTTTTAAGCTGACCTTTGTGCTTATAAATAGCAGCTTAAATTTCTCTGTGGGAGATTCTCCAGCATACAATATTAACAGAAATAAATCCATCTGGGAGAGTTGTGGGAAGGGGAACCAGTGTCAGATGGTGATATTGGAAAGAGATCTGGAAGTGGAAGCTTTCAAGTAAGAGGAGTGAGACAAAGAAAGGCAACAAAAGTGTTGGGAAATGGAATGGGGCAAAGCCAGGGATCACAAAGACTGAAGGTTGCTGATGGTGTTGTAGAGTAGCGTAGACCTTGAGAGCATAAAGTTTTCTGGTTAGTAAAGGTGGCATTGAGGAGAGACAGAGAAAGAAACTGTGTGGTATATAGGCAGGAAAGTACCATTTAAAATTAAGTAGAAATACATCTGAAAGGCACCAGAGAAAGAATTAGTGACTGTAAGGTGCATGTTCTTGGGGTGTGTGGAAGGAAATGATAACAGGGGCATGTGGTGCCTATTCCTGAGAGAGGGGAGAACGTCAGTGCTGAGGTGGGGAAGCAGAGGTCTTGTTGGTATGGAGACACCTCAGCTCAACACTTGCAGCCCCGAATGAGAGAATGAGAGAAGCTCAAGAGGGACATGTTAGTGTGTCATGCTGGGTGTTCTCAGTGAT